TCTCCTAAAGATGACAACACTTCCCCCTGAGTCTTGGGAATTTCAAAGGAGCTGAGCAGAGATCCACACCCGAAGCTGGATGCAGAACCGCAGGGTGGGGCAGGACTCGGCGGGGCATGTCTGGCTCACCTGCGCGCCCGACTCACCCCGAGGGTTTGCAGGGCAGCCTCCCTCCTGCTCTCCCAGGGAGAGCGTGCTGGGGTGAGAATTAGGGCGCAGCCGCTCAAGTCTGAGCTAGAGTGGCTGGGTGTGAGGCCTGGGCAAGGCCGGCACCTTCCTCTCCTTCAGTGGCTGCTCCTTGGCTGCTCCTCGTCCTGTGGCTGGCGTGGAGACACACACGGGGAAGTGAAGGGACTCGCACAGGCCTCCCAGGGGCGTACCTGAGTGTGAGCTCTGTGTCCCCGGCTTCTAAGAAAGCAGCACCCTAGCTTCTGTAAAGTGCTTGGAGGACCCCTGGCCGAGCATGCCGGGTGGGAGAGTCATTGTTCTGTGGTTACAGGGTGTCTCTTTGGGGCTCTGTTTGTTTTCTCTCTTGGTTTTCTGCGTTTTGAAGATGCCTTGCCCAGCGGCACAGACAGAAGCCCACGCCACAAGACCACTGACTAGTGATTGGCCAATTGGTTGGTTGAACATGACCCTGGGTGGGCCTGGCTTTCAGATGAGCTTCCTGTTCCCCTGACCGTTGGACCTGGGCTGGCACCTTCCCTCCACCAAGAGCCGCACCTGGGGAAAGGAACCCCCACCATGTCTCCTCAGCACCTCAAAGTCGACTGTGTCTCCCAGGACTCACCCCTGGGGAACAGGGGCTCTGGGGAAGGGCGCTCAGTGTCCTAGGGTAGCTGGGAGCACAGCTCTGCATCAGGGCACCTAGGAGGTTGTGCGTGTGAAGAAAGGGTTGGGTTGAGTGTGTTAGTGAGGGGCATGCGGGGTGAGTGGGGGTCTGTTTCTTCTTCCTTCGTCCTTGCTGCTCTAAGGAGGGACGGGGACAACCATCATCGAAGGTGATATAAGCAGAAGAAAGAGTTTGTGACTCAGAAGTAACTGTCAGTGTAATGCGGGCTATGTCCCTTTGACCCTGAATTCTACGAGTCTCTGATTCCCCACGACACCTTTAGAGAAAAACAGGACAAGAAGGGACTCCGTGGTGGGTCGCGGGAGGGGAGAGGAAGTCGCCTGAGAGAAGCGGGGAGGCGAGCGTGAGTGAGGGGCGTCTTGTAGCCTCTGAAAATGAAAGCACAGGAAGGAAAAAGTAGCGAAGACGTTTCACAAGATGAAGGAGCCACGTGAGAGGCGCAGAGGGAGGGGAGGGAGCAAGAGGTTAAGTGGGACAGGCCAGGAAGACGCTGGAGTCAGCAGGCTCCGCTCGGGAGGAGGGCGGAGGCAGGTGGGAGGAGGAATTGGAGCAGAGAGATGAAGCCAGCAGGTAGGGGCAAAGGCACCACAGGAATGAAGACAGAGCAGAGGCAAAGGGGACTCAATCAGCTTTTTGGTGCGAGGCAATGTGAACACGTTATGGAAAATAAAAGCCAGAATTAATGTCTGATTGTACAGTATTTACAACCCATATGCTTTAAACAGCCCACAAACGGGATCCGTCTGTCTGATTATGTAGGATCAGCCCCAGTGAGGACAGGGTGAGAGGATTTGGTTCTGGCCTGGATTTCATGCCTTGAAACACTTTTCAAGAAAGCGATAATAAGACAAGGGCCCTTGTTTTGCGGGGCTGTGCCTAGTGAGAGACACACACACACACACACACACACACACACACACACACAGGCGCAGGAGTCCTTAGCCCACAGAGGCTGACCGCACAGTGTGGGCAGAGCTTTCAGAACCCCTGGGCCTGGACCTTCTCTTCCACCAGAGGCCACTGTGGGAGTCATTTTAACTGAGGTGCCAAAATAGCCTGCTCGTTACATGGCTCAGTTTAGAAGGAAGGTGCCACCCAGAGAACAAGGGCCTTAGGGACCAAGCTCAGGGGACAAGGCCCACACTGTCCACGCCGGGGGAGGGAGGCTGACCCTCCTGGGCCCTGGTGCCGGCTGGGGGAGCGGCTGCGAGTGCGTCCACCCGATAGCATCTCAGCCTCAGGGCTCGTCCACCAGTGCCTCTCGGGCCGCACAACCAGGAAACGGCACACTGTCTCTGAATCCGGCTGCAATGCCCCGTGGGACTTGGGAGCAGGGAACTTCCAGCGAAAACCCAGTTCCCGTCGGACCAGTTGGGTCTCACCAACGGCATGCCTCGTCCCGCGTGCCGAGGCTCGCTGCGTTTCAAATGCCTGGCCCCTGCCCCTGCCCACCCACGTTTAGACGGCCTTGGGGTGATCTAAGCTGGTGCTTCTCAAAATAAATGTGCCTGTGAGTTGCCTGGGGAGTGTGTTAAAATGCAGGTCCTGACTCAATCCTGCCTTTCGACCAGTCTCAGAAGTTCTGTTGCTGGGCCACAGACCACACTTTGAGCACAAGGGCAGGGGACTCGGCAGTGAGCTAAACAGCTGCTCGGATCCCTTTTCCAGGGACATTAGGGCATCTTTCTTTGTTGCTAACAAATAAGTCGCTTGGGCTGTGGGACAGAGAGACATGATTCAGAACTGTCATTATGACGTCATATTTGGCTGCCCAGGTGATGTATTATTATAGCATCTTTATCTCCATCAAGCGTCAGGAAATTTTAGGGGGAGGGGCATTCAGGTGAAGTACAAACTGGGATTTCCGAATAGTAATCATTTTAAACATGAGCAGAGGTTACTGAACACGTTATGAAAGCCTTCTCAGGAAATCTTTAAACAAAATTGATTCCCACCATCAGGTGTGGGCCTGCTGGGAGGCAGGGGAGTGGCCCGTGTGACAACCTTAGATCTGAGCCAGCCCAAAGCAAACCAGGCCGCATGGGAGGCAGATGGGCACGGCCAGAACATCTGCCACTTGTCTGTCTGAAGTCGACAGTTCGGCCTAGCTACAGCAAGAGAAAAACATCGTGTCAATTCTTTTTTTAAATACTGCTCAGGTTCCTTCACTCTCTCCATGACCACAGCCATGCCAGCAACATCTCTCCCTTAGGCAACAGAACCAACCTCCTCACCTTTCTCCCTGCTGCCCTCTTGCTCCTACTCCCTTCTCCACACAGACGACAGAGCAGTCTGTAAACCAGGAATCTGATTGCATTACTCCCTTGCCCCTCGCACTTGGGTTAAAATGCAGAGTCCTAGTGTGGCCCTGTGAGGTCTGGCTCCCGCCTCCCTCCCCAGTCCCCATCGGTGCCTCTCCCCTCCTTGCCTTCATGCTCCTGCCCCACTGGCCTTCACTCAGCCTCCAGATGGCCAAGGATTTGTCCCCACGTCCTTTGCACCCACTGTTCCCTCTACCTGGAATGCATCCCCTGTTCTTCGCCTGGCTAATTGCTATGCATCTTCAGGTCTTGGTTTAAGTGTCACTTTCTCAAATTGTTATTTTCTGGCCCCTAATCTAAAACCATCCCACTACCAGGGGTGGGGAACCTTTTTTCTGCCAGGGGCCATCTGGATATATACAACATCTTTCGCGGCCATACAAAATTATCAACTTAAAAGTTGGCCTGCTATATTTGGTCAAACATTTCATTGACTCACCCCTAATGCCATGGCAGGTCCAGACTAAACGATTTCTCGGGCCTTATAGGGCCCGTGGGCGGGGAACGTCCGCCTGCATTAGACCGCCTTGTGGTTGCCGGTGCTTTGCCTGAGTAGCACTAGATGACGGCACTAGAATGACTTGTGTGACTATTAGACTGTAAGCTCCCTGGGGGCAGGAGTCATCTCTGTTTTGTAAACTGTTGTCTGCCCAGCATCTAGCACTGCATGACATACAGAGGCTCAATAAATATTTGTTTAATGAATGAGGTGGGCAATGATGTCAAGACCCAATCTACAGGGAATAGTAAAAGATTCACATCTTACATGACCAGACCATTCCATAAACATGTCTCGAGATAGTTAAGAAACAAGATGGCAGTGTGAGGGAGCACAGCTCCCCAGCTTTTCCCCTCTAAGTCAAAATGCCTATGTAGACAGACAGACACACACACACACTACACACACAGCGTCTGTGTCTCACACACACTCACCCTTCCATCCACCCTCCTCTATGGATTTCCACATGCAGATGAAGCCAGCACGTCAGTGGGGTCAGGTTCCGTGCTATTCACAGAAAGCAGACCGTACATAATGAGGCCCTGTGTCTGCCGTGGGGACAGAGGCCCCAGCCAGCCTGATCCGTGTCATAAATCCCAGCAACTCACTGAGCCTCTGCAGCGCAGGTTCTTCCAGG